TATGTGTATGAATGTATTGCCTGCATGCATGTAAGTGCACCTGTGTTGTGCAACGCCGCAGAGGTCAGAAGAAGCCATTGGATTCCTCTGGAACTAGAGTTAAGGATGGTTCATAGCCGCCATGTGGGTGCTGGGAATCGAACCCGGGTCCTCTGCAAGAGCAGTCAGTGCTCTTAACCACTGAGCCATCTCTCCAGGCCTGTAATTTTGTTTCCTGTTTTAAGAGTGAAGAATTCCTTGTTTCTGAATTACTTTTATAAAGAAATAGCTTTAACTTTCTTGTGTTTATGTGTAGATTTTCTTTCCTATAAGAAAGTTTATTCATCTCTGTACTGATTGAAAAACTAGGCTGAAGGTGTTTTACTTGTATCATTCGGAGCACTTTCAGTGCAAACCAGACATTGTAAAACAGAAAGCACATGTGTTAAAAGGTTTTCACTGGGCAGTAGGTATTATTTATGGTTAATCTATATATTTTATACATTTCCATGTTCCCATCAGTATGATACTATTTTTCATGCAAGAAACCCAAGGTCCTTAGATGGTCAGAAGGTTTGGCAACTGGTCAGGGTACACTTCGATGAAGAGAAGTTTGTACTAATTCAGTGGGAGTTTGTTCTCTCCTTGTTCTTTGAGTCATCACAGAGACATGTATAGAATCCCTGCTATGGAGCCTGATTCATTTTGCCCACTGTGAAACCCAGAGTTGAAATGTTGACTCACATGGAAATTAAGTCTGTAGAGACAAAAATACATTGATCCCAAGTCCCTCTCTCCAGCGGTAGAGTTTTGAGGGTATTTATAAAACAAATAGGGTTGATAGACTGTCATTCATTGTCCAGATTTTACCCAAGGCAGGAAGAAAATGTCTGCTTTTCTTCTTTCCCATATTTAGTCATTTGCTGGCTGTTCATGAAATATTGTTTTATGTTCTAGTTTTGAGTTCCACTTAATTCCAGAACTGAGGAACAATCTCTATTGTGCAAGTTAATTCTCAATATTGTCTACCCTCTGTGTGACTCAGATGTTTTCATTTCTTCCAGTAGTGGCTGCTTTCTGAGGATGATGAACACTACATGTTAGGGTCTTGTGCTATAAGAAACCCTATATTCATATTTAATATTCTATTTACATTAGGATTTTCAGACACAACATTGTCTTCTAACGAGGGTGGGAAACTGGTACTGTTGTAATCAACTTTAATGTTTGGTGAATGTGGTTATTATATTTCTTATTCATTAACTACACAGAATCTTCAGTTCTGCCTTCAGTATCTCTTACTGCAAAGATCAGGAAGAAACATGAAAGTCTTGATAAGAATTAATCTATGTGTTTCAATTATGCTTTCAAAAATAAGCAACAATGATAAACCTATACTGGATAGCTTTAATTGTTACCTTGACACATCTGGGAAGAGGGAACCTCAGATGGGGAATCTCCTCCCACTGTTGGATTGACCTGTGGCTATTTTCTTGACTGTTGGTCGATATGGGAGCCCAACCCACTGTGTGTGGTGCCACACCGGGGCAAGTGGCCCTGGAATGTACAGGAAAGCAGGCCTGAGGAGGAAGTCAGTAAACAGCATTCTTCCATGGTCTGTGGATCAGCGTCTCCCCCCAAGTTCTTACTCTGAGTTCATGCCCTGGTTTCCTTCCATAATGAACCGTAAGTGGTAAGGTGAAGTAAATCCTTTTATCCACAATTTGCTTTTGGTTAGTGTTTTATTATAGCAGCAGAAAGCAAACTAGATCAAAACCCATTAAGTCCACATGTGAGGGTACATGTGAGTCAAAGCTATACAAATCATCTGACATCCAGGAGCCACCACTACATGCAATGGATCACAAGGTCTTACTTGATTCCCATATTTCAGGACCCATACCTGAAAATATGAGACAATTTAGAGTCATATCCCTTTCTCTGGGCACAGTAATCCAGGAAGTGGTTATATCACATAGATGCATAAGGAATCTTTTTTTAAAAAATTTTTATTATTTTGAGCATATGAGTGTGTTGCTTGCATGTATGTAAGTGAACCCATGTTGTGCAATATCTGAGGAGGTCAGAAGAGAGAGTTAGATTCCCCTGGAGCTGGAGTTACCATTGTTAGCTGCCATGTTGGTGCTAGGAATCAAATCTGGGTCTTCTGCAAGAGCAGCCAGTGCTCTTATGTGCTGAGCCATCTCTTTCCAGGCCCCATAAGGAATATTCTTAAAGCACATTTTATAGTCCTTTGTGAAAAACACTTCAATTTAAGCTGGGCATACTGGCGCATGCCTTTAATCTGAGCAATCAGGAGGCAGAAGCAGGGGGATCTCTGTGAGATCAAGATCATCCTGGCCTACATAGTGGGTTCCTGGACAGCTGTGGCTGTGGTGAGACCCTGTCTCAAAAAGAGTGAAAAGGCATCTGGAACGATGGCTCAGCAGTTAAGAGCATTGGCTGCTCTTGTAGAATCCCCAGGTTCAGCATCTAGCACCCACATGGCAGCTAACAGTTGTCCATAACCTCAGTTCCAGGGGATCCAGTTCCCTTTTCTGGCCTCTAGGGTACACTTGTATACATACAGGCACTACACACATACACTAAAAATAAAATAAAAATATTAAATAAAATACAAATAAAAGAAGACTTCAATTTGTCTCAAATAGTATGATTCTCTGGGTTGTCTTAGTGCTATGGGGTGATTTAGGACTTTGTGTTTCTATTTCAAAGACTGACTTCAGGAATTCATTTTTCTATGTTGTTTTCTTCTTGTTTTATTTTGCATATCAGAATACAAAATTTCTTTGACACTTTTCTCATGACCATAAGGCTGATGATCTCTGTACCTCAATGAAACTACCCTTTGCAAGAACATCAGGAACTCTGTGTTGCCAGGTCTTAGTCCTTATCCTTCATGAACTCTCAGCAGCATGGACAAAACTCTTATGTCTCCCAGGACATTTTCTCCCATGGCTTCCAACCTTGTTCACTTAGCACTGCTTCTCAGTTTCCTTGATGAGTTTTAAATCTTCTTCCTAATGAGAAAATATCCGGTAGACCAAGTATTCAACTTTGTAAACTTTCGGTTATGTTGACCTGCACAAATCTCATACACTGTCCATATGGGAACACAGCTGAACAGTTTCCAAGCAGCTGACTTCAATAAAATGGCATCTCAACTGAGCAGAGTGAAACCACTGGGGTTATCAAGTTGGTTAACATCTTTTAATCCATCCTGACTTTGTATAAAAATAAAAAAATTAATATTGACTTCTGAGTACAATAGTATGCATCACTACTTAACGTCAAGGCTACACCGGCCTTTCTGCTTTCCTGTTGCACATTTGATTTTAGGGGATATTTTGTGGTGGGGGAGAAGAGGACTTTGGGATTCAAAACTGGATCCTGGGTTGCAAATAACGTGCTGTGTACTGAAGCTATCTATCTATAGACACTGTCAGTTTAATTGGTTAAAGTCTTTGCAGTGTTATGGATGTTCTTTCTCTCTCTTTCTTCCTCCTCCTCCTCTTCCTCCTCCTTATCCTCTTCTTCCTCATAGCCTGTTTGGTTTGAGACAGAGCCTCATGTATTCCAGGTTAACCTAGAACTATCAAGGTATCCAAGGAAGACACTGGATTTTTCATTTACTCGCCTCCATTTTCCAAGTGCTTCGATAATAGGCATGCACGGCCGTACCTCGCTTGGAAGCATATTTAGAACAGTGTCTTAACTGCTGTCATGATCTTAAGAATGAGTTAGATGAATGATGATTGTTGAGTAACTGAAAACCCCAAACCACTGAAGTAGAAAATGAAGATTTACATCCAAATAAATGTGTGACTGGTGTGTGTCTGTTTGTGTGTGTCTGCGTACATATGTCATTGGAAATGAAAAGTGTGATTACCAAATGAAAAGTGTTATTACCAAATGTTCAAAGAATAATGGTTTACATGGAATTAATATATAAATGATAGTTTTTTTTGAGGAACTTTAGGGAACATTAGCACAATTCTGTCTATATCCCTACTTTGAACTCTTTAGAACATCCTCAGCACTTAGGAAGTAAGATACAGAAGTTCAGATTCTTGTTGCTTTGTAAAGGTTTTAGAATTTTTTTTTGCCCAGAACTCAAGTCGTCAGTTTAAAATGTAGATAATACAAAACCAGAAAGACAATGCAAATAAATATATCTTGGTTTGCATGTCAGCTCATGAGAGTTTAGCATTTCCTACACGTGAAGTTACAACAGACTGCAGGTACAGTAAAGACAGATTGCATCTGGATGAAAATCAGCTGGACTTTGTCAGAAAGGCAATGCTTTTATGAAGGACAAGGATGAGCTTCTACATGGGAAAATCCTGATGCTTGCTTATCAATATATTGTGACTTTTAACAAGTATATTATAAGTTTTCAAAACCATAGACAGCATTTAAGATGATGGTATCAACAAATATTCTTCAGTCACTATAAGTCAGGACGTTGTCTTATAAACAATGGGTGCCACTGTGTCTGCAACCTTATTCACTGTGGAATTCATAATAGGGAATGCTGGAAATGGATTCATAGCAGTGGTGAACGTCATGGACTGGGTCAAGAGAAGAAAGCTCTCCTCAGTGGATCAAGTCCTTACTGCTTTGACAATCTCCAGAATTTTTCTTTTATGGACAGTATTCATAATTCTATTAATATCTGAAGTGTATACGGATTTAGCAATGACTTTAAAAGTGGTAAGCATGGCTAATATCACTTGGACAGTGGCTAATCATTTTAGTATGTGGCTAGCGACCAGTCTCAGCATCCTTTATCTTCTCAAAATAGCAAAATTTTCTAACTCTATTTTTCTCTACCTAAAGTGGCGAGTTAACAAGGTAGTTTTAATGACATTGTTGATTTCTCTGATCCTCTTCCTTTTTAATATTTTAGTGATGTACACACATATGGATATCCTGACTGATGAATTCAACAGAAACCTGTCTAACAGTTCTAGGTCATGGAATATTGAACAGACTTCGAGGCTTCTTTACTTACTCGAGATTCTATTCACCTTCGTACCCTTTACTCTATCTCTGATAAACATTTTTCTGTTGATCTTCTCCCTGTGGAAACATCTGAAAAGCATGCAGCACTATGCCAAAGAATCTAAAGATGTCAGTACCACGGCCCACATCAAAGCCTTGCAAGCTGTGGTGGCCTTTCTTTTGCTAAACACCATTTCTGTTCTGTCTCTTGTCATACAACTTTGGAGTTATGGCTTTCTAGAGAAAGATATTTTCAATTTGCTTTTTTCAGCTATTATAATTGCCTTTCCCTCATTCCATTCATGTGTCCTAATTCTGAGAAACAATAAGCTTAGAAAGGTCTCTGTCTTGGTGCTGTGGTGGCTCAGGTGCAAGGTCAAACACTGTGGAACTCTTGGGTCCCTGACACACTTGGGGAATAATTTTGCAGTGTAAGTGAAGATCCTGTCACAAGAAATTCTGGTACATTATAAGTGTATAATTTCCCCATATCCTTCTATTCTGTGTTGCACAGTATATTTTGTAGAATTTATGTTTGGACTAAGAGTTATCTAAACATATAACAACTTTAGAAGAATGTATACATCTATTCTCATGACTATATCTTTACAAAGATGAATTTAAACCAAGTAAACACAAAAACGCTTTATTAGATGTTGCTAAATAATTGTAGTCATTCAGAAATTTATTTGATATTTTTGTAGTAGTTAATGAATATTATAAAACACAGGTGACTATGTATGCAAGTGATCCATAATAAACGTAAATCTACACAATTGTATACACATAGAAATATTTTTACACCTAGAAAAAACACCTAATTTCAAATAGCAAATGAGGAATTAAGTATAACCTTCCTTACTAAATATTTTCTTTTGTCTTTTTGAGACAGGGTCTCCTTGTAACCCCAGCTGTCCTGGAACTCATTATGTAGACCAGGCTGGCCTCGAACTCACAAAGATCTGCCTGCCTCTGCGTCCCAAGTGCTGGGATTAAAGGCGTGAACCACCACACCTGGCTACTAAATGTTTTTTAGAATTTTCCCTGATCTAGGAATGTGTTTTTTTCATTTCATCGTGGCATTATTAGTTTCAAAGTGTAAAACAGTAGAATATATAATTTACATTTATAAGTACAAAAATTTTTTTCTGAGGATTTTCTGGCATGTACCACATTCCATTATAATTTTAATGCTATAGAATACCAAAACCTGTCATTTGATAGCTTGCTTTTTGCATGTCACATTGAGCTTTAGTAGATTTGTTTTACTTTATTTCATCAGGTATAAGATTTTTATTGTTATAGGAAGACCATTGGGAGTTACTTCTGAGTTAACTATGTTATATAAACAGCTAATATTTGCTCTCTATAGCTGTTGTTAGCATTGATTTTATTGTAGAAATTAAAGAGTAATGGAAAAATATGTAAAGAAAATGAAATATATTAACACATACTTATATTAGTTTGAAAAATTGAGACAAATGGATGCATAGTCATGTGATCTGTGCTCAGTGCTGTTCGATTTACAGTAAGATACATATTTTCTTTTCTGTAATTTAGTACAGTCATCTTTTGATTGATTAAAATACTGAATTTTGAACATATTTTATAGAACTGTTTAATAGAGACTAGAGCATATAAAATAGAAAATGGATTTGTTTAATAGGTACTAACCAGTCAGAAGGGATTATTTACATAGCCAGTAATTACATATTTCACACATTTTTAATGCTCATATAATTTTACTTTTATTTTTTGTGTGGCGACACTAAGGTGTGTAGAAGTTCAGGATGTTTGATAAATGGTCAATGTAAGCAATGAAATATTCAGGAATGGTTTTATTTGTTTACTGTTCTGGAATGCAAAGGCTTTATTAAGTGCCATATGAAATTTGTAGAATCACATCTTATATTTTGAAGAAAGAAAATGATACAATCTGCACATAGTTACTTATAGTGATTATTTTTCTTCCTTATAATTATTTATAATTTTATTTCTTGGTATTGGCTATATAATAAAATAATGTAACTTTACAAAGAATAAATAATAGTACTAACCATCTTGGTAAAGAAATGTTTCTTATTCCCAAGTTTCCTTGTATCTTATCTGAAAGAATGTTGGCAACTGATTGCTGCTTGGTGAAGAAGACCTGATCTTCCTAAAACAAGGGACTCCAGATAGACTGACCAGACTTAGTGGACAGACTTGCACTGTGGAATGGCTGGGGACACTGACAACCAGTGGGACTTAACAGGGATGACTGAGTATATGGGCACCAGTGGGGTGGGAGGATAGGGCTCTGGGAGGGTGCCATTGGGGATGGGGGTATAAAGATGATTCAGATTGTTTGAGCTGTTCTATATGAAATACACAAAAATACAATAAAAATATGAATATGAGTGATAAAATTAAAAATAAAGAATTTGGTAAAATGAAAGAATAAGATTAAATATTCAGAGTTTATCATGGGAGTTGAAGTTTGCCTTTCCTACTGTATTAGTCGTTTTTCTGTTGCTATGATAGAAATACTGTCCAAAACAATTCATAAAAGGAAGAGTTTATTTGAGCTTACTGTTCAGAATTACAGTCCGTCATGGCAGGGAGGCATGGTGGCTGGAGGTGGCTGGAGCAGGAGCAGCAGAAGTTAAGCTCTCACATAATCAAGCAGGCACAGGAAGCAAGAGAGTGACTTGAGATCAGGCAAGGCTTAAGCAATCTCTAAGTCTACCCTCAGTAACTTGCTCTCTCCAGGACAGCCACACCTTCTAAGGCCTCCAAAACAGCACCACCAACTAGGGACAAAATGTCCAAATACTTGGAGCCTATGGGAGACATTTTCATTCCAACCACCACAACTATTAAACATCATTGTGGCAAAAATTTTAAAGCAATAATATAAATATATAAATGTAAACATATAATGTTCTGTAAAAAAAGAAATGTTTCTTAGTATGTCACAAGAAAGTGTAGTACAAACTTCACCTATGAGATAACTATGTTAAAATTATCCTCACAATGAATCATTATTTTCTTATGTTTATGATAAAATCTTTGCTATTTTCATCAAATGTGCATAACTATTATAAGATGATTCTATACTTTGTTTCTACATAATGACTATAGTGCCGTATGGTAATTGTGACACAAATAGATGTGCCACTCCTGGTTTTTTTTTAAATTTACATATCAGATAAGAATGGGGAGCTAAAAAATCTTGGTCTCAAAACTTCCTCACTAGGGACATTGCTGTATGTATTATTAAATGAAAAGCATGGTGATCTAAGATTTGGGGGAAGGAATAGGAAGTAAGGAGGAGTGACGTGATGGGGCGCTTCTGCGTGTGTCATCAAACTTCATAGCTATTCATGAGACACACAGTGGCCATTATATGATCTATAAGTAGAATTTTGACCCTATGATGTCAAAATGCCACACACTAGTTGTTTGTAAAGGTCCAAGTGATGGGGACGATGGGCTCAAACTTTTTTATCTAAGCATGATTAGGTCCAAGTTCCTAAAAAAATAATTTATGCATCCATTATCACAGTGATTATACATCAGGGGTGCTGCATATAACAAAACTATGATTTACGTTTTACTCATGGGATTTCTGAAATCAGTGATGATGTAAAGGAAGGAAGTACAGCTACAGGGAATAGCTTCCCAACACGGGACCAAATCAGACCAATGGATTCAGATTGTATCCTGGTAACTAGAGGCAGTAGAGTTTAACCACCAGACGGTTAATCATCAATGTGCTCAGAGAATATTGGTTAGAGGTAATGAGGATGTTGTTGGAACTAAATAAAGTCACACTTGGCATAGTATCCCTTGCCCTAATACCTGAAGCTGAAGCAGGAGGATCTTAAGTTCATGCCAGCCTAGACTTCATGACAAGACAATGTCTCAAATCCAGAGGATGAAGTTTCTTATACCAGCCTTTTCAAAAGTATGCAATAAGGTAAGGAGAAATGGTTCTCTGTACGGTTATCTGACTGCAGCTGAATGTGTTCTAACTTATGTTTGTACCTAAAATAGGCTTATGATAATTTGTTTCAGACAAAGAACTATTTAATCTCAAGTTTAATATAGGAGCCCTATACAGAAACTCACATTCTGCAGTCTCTTGTTCTCTAAAACTTAGCCAGTTGTGGCCTTCTCATGCATCGCACTATATTAAGCCTCACCCACCTATGGCTCAGGGACCATTGTGGAAGAGGGAGGCAGAAAAGAGTGTAAGCGCCAGCACTGGTCCATGAACATAGGGAAACAGAGGCTCTCAGGTCACTGGTAGCTTGCTCATGTGAACTTGTGGCAATGGGGCATTATGGACAAGACCCATGCCGACTGAATCAGACAAAGCTCAGTATGGTGTGAGGAAATGGAGGTGGTCCTGCCCTAACCTGGGGGCTGTTGACAACTGATTACTGCTGGTTGAGGGAGAGCAGATCTTCTTTAAGATCTCTAGATAGACAGACTAGACTCCAGTGGATGAATTTGCACTGAAGTACATCTGGGTACAAATGCTTAACCAGATAGGACTTAACATATATGACAGAATGCATGAGGTCTGGTGGTGGTGGGGGGTATGGGAGATACGGATGGAGAGGGAGTCTGTTTGACTAAGAACTATTTTATGAAGTGCACAAAACCTCAATGAAAATATTATTAAAAATAATCAAGTTTGATGTGTTGAAGAGTAACTGGACACAGCTGTCCTGGAAGAAACGAAACATTTGTGTGGTGTTTTCATTTGGCTATCACATTCTTGAAACAGTTATGTACCCGAAATTGTTTTTTTTTTTTCTTTCTTAAAACTTCATGCTGGAAGGCAGAAAAAGATGAACCCTGGGACGAGAGGAGGAACTTATCACCCAGAAAGATTTTACATTGTTCTGGCAACTTATCAGTTCACCAAGCAAGAGAGGTTGGGGCTGAGACCATGTGGGTCCTTAATGAGATGAAACACACCTTGACCAAGATCCTAAGCTATGTAAACCACTGTCCATCTACTTAAACCTAAGCCTCATCTTGGAGAGGGGAGGGGTCTCCTTTGGATCTCTCTGTCCTCCATGGGGCAATGTTGCATGAGTCTATGTTTCTGTCTTTCACTAATTCTAACAAATTAGAAACAGAGACATGATACAGGCTTTCACAAAAGGTGATGTGTACTAATATTCTTTGACTCAAAAGCAACTCACTTTAGTTTTTGCACAATGAACAACACAGATCAAATATATTATCAACTTAATAACCACATACATAGTAGCAGCGGTGACATTCTGAAGAACATCTGTCAGGTACAGATGTGGTAAACTGCATCCATCCTGTATTCCATTTGGTTATAACAGAGGCCTTTAATAAGGATATAAAGTTTAATGTAGATATTGAAATTTGGCCAATGTTTTCATTATAGTAATGATTAAGTTAGAAAT